AAAAAAAAAGACTAAAATGAATAAATTTAAATAAGCAATCAGCATTCTTAAAAAAAATGATGGCAAAATTTTTTTGAAGTCTTGAGAATAGAATTGATTGGTCTACAGACCAATGAATTAAGGATTCTATTCACTGCTCTGGGACCCAACTTAATGTTTCCGTAGCTGTCATCACTTTCAAAATGCTCATGTTTGGTATTGACATAACGTGACCATGTTTTTAGCTAGAGCATGACGACGTGTAAAATTGTCCCCTCAAGGCATTCTTCCCATAAAGAGCAAGAAAGACAAAAAAAGTCGTCCAATGGCATGAGTGCTGATCCAAACCTTGTTGATTCTACTGGGAACCCCACTCTATTGGTCCTCAGTCATCTCACTAGTGGAGATCTTTTAATTCAAACCATCTTTGTTTAGGTTTGCTTATGTATGTTCTTGTTATTTTGTTTTATCCATGCACAAGGCTAATTTTAAGATTATTGCAATCCACGTCAATATCCTTCCTCCCAATCCCTGTGAGAACAAGCAAAAGAAACAAAGGGAGAAGTCTAGTAAGATGACCAATAAAGACAATGCAAACCTATGGCAGATAATTGTAATCTCACACTCGTTGATATTTGATTTTAAACGGATGAAACCACTATCAGCAATCATAATCAAAAGTAGGAGATTAAGCTTAACCAATAACTAGTCAAGAGTATGCAGGTACAGCAAATGCTACATAAATGTGTATGTCATAGGGCACTGAATCAAGAAACAAGTCAACAACAGATGTACTTATGAAGGTTAGAAGTAGTGGCTTAAGTTTAACCAATAAATGGTCAAGAGTATGCAGGTACAGCAAATGCTACATATATGTGTATGTCATAGGGCACTGAATCAAGAAACAACAGATATAGTTATAAAGGTTAACTCTATATGAATGGAACTAAAACTCACACATGACATCTGCCTAAGCTGAGGTTAAGATATTACTATGATCCAATACAACATGCAGAGATTGGTACCCAGAGTTACCTGTAGGCAGGCAGTTCATGTATTCTGATGAAGATGCAGCCTGATACATGTCATGGCGTGGTATGGAGGAGGACAATCACTTGTGTTGAGTTCCCACTTGCCAGAGAGGGAAAACCGCAATGCTTTTATCCATTAAGACCAATGGCTTGGATGTTAATTGGAGTAATGCCGCTCTTCCCTTCCCATTCAATAACATCATCAAAAAAATGATAGTATCCAACAAATAGAAGATATTACAAAAGCAAAAAGTTTTGACATTCCTCGGTCACTTACCTTGTGTTTAATATATTTCTAATTTCACCAATAGTCGCCACAAGAGCATGACCCCCCTATGAAGGAATGATATCTGTTATTATCCCTAACAATTATCTCCCTACCAGTAATCCTCGAAATAAGCTTTATGGCTTCATGGCAATCACCACATACACGGAGATTCTTAACAACTCGAATCACATTTTTTGGAGCTGTACTGATTAGACCAAACGCAACAGCCAGCTTCTCACTGTGATAACCAATGAAATACTCCTTCTCCTCCTCCTCTATGTCAAACAACACATAATCTGTAGTTGGAACATAACCAGCTGCTTTCAGTTCTCGGGCCAATTCACCAAGTTTTGCATATATCATTTCTGAAGAAGGATGGGACTTATCATCCACAAGGAATTCATGAACAACCCCATTTACTTCAATCCAACTGCACCCAGGTACCTTTTTGATCCTTTTGTCATTCATAATTGACCTGACTTTTGCTGCATCATCCCATTTATGACTTGCTGAATATATATTAGATAAGAGAACATAGTTTCCTGAGTTCCACGGTTCTAAATCAATGAGTTTCTTTAGCACATGTTCTGCCAACTGAGTATCCTTGTGCAATCTACATCCACCCAACAGGGCTCCCCAAACAATGGAATTCGGTTCCATGGGCATACTTTTGATCAACTGTTGAGCTTCATTCAATAAACCTGCACGACCTAGAAGATCTACCATGCACCCATAATGTTCAATTGTAGGAGTCAAGGAAAAAACACTACTAATGCTACGAAAATATCGGCGACCTTCATCAACCAAACCAGCATGAGTACACCCACAGAGTAACCCCATGAAAGTGTTCCCATCAGGTTGAATCCCGGATTTCTCTACTTGGCCAAAAAGAGCAAATGCAACTTTAACATGTCCACTCATTGCAAGACCAGTTATTGCAGCATTCCAGACTATACGGTCTTTCTCCTTCATCCCTTTAAAGACTTCCCAGGCTTGAGCTACGCTCCCACATTTTGCATACATGTCAATTAAAGCAGTACCCAATACAGGGTTAGACAAAAACTCATCTTTCCTCATTAACTTGCTAGACCAGTCCCCTAATTCTAGGGCTCCTAATTTCGCACAAGAAGAAAGCACTCCAACCATGGAATAGCAATCAGGTGCCAAATTTTCTCTCAGCATCTGGAAGAAAAGGTCTAGAGCTTCTCTTGGGTGTCCATTTGAGGCATACCCCTGAATCATAGTACTCCAAGAAACTATATCCTTCTCAAGCAAACCATTAAATATTTGGCGAGCCTTCTCCATGTTACCACACTTTGCATACATATCCACCAAGGAGGTTGCGACAAACAAGTTTCCTGCCATCCCAGACTCTCTTATGTATCTGTCTATCCACTCTCCAGTACTCAAATCCCCTAACAGAGTGCATGCAGACAAAACCCGATTAAGGCTAAAACCATCAGGCCTCACACCCATCTCTAACAACCTCCTGAACAAATCAATAGCTTCTCTATGCTGGCTAGCATCAATACAGCCACTAATGATGGCAGTCCAAGAAACAATGTTTCGATCAGGAATATCATCAAACACCTTCATGGCATCACCCAAATACCCGCATTTTGCATACAGGGTAAGCAAACTGGTATTAACAAACTCATCCCAATCATAACCACATTTAACCACGAGCGAATGGATCCTAACACCCAAGTGAAAATCCGAAAGCCTAGCACACGCCTTAAGAACAAAAGGGTAAGTAAAATTATCGGGCAAGAAGCCTTCTTTGCGCATGGAAATGTACAAACCCACGGCTTCTCGGAAGCAATCATTGGAGACAAAACCGCGAATCATGGTATTCCAAAGGAAAATGTTGGGTTGTTCAGTATGATTGAAAATGAGATTAGCATAGTTGGTGTTACCAAAACGAATGGTGCGTTTCAAGATCAAGTTAAGAAGATAATTGTCCTGCTCGAGGCCGAAGCGGAGAAGTGCGGCGTAGACATGCTTGAGCTGTTTGATAGAGGTGAAGCCTTGAAGGATTCGGCTCTTGATCTCCAAGGCCTTTGGACATCCAGGGTTGTTGAGGATGCTCATGGCCTGTTGCCCGCCAACATGCCAAAATACAACCCTCGTTGTTCTTGACTTTTATTTTAATCTCAACCGCTACTGTTGAGATCTGTTACGATTTTATAGCTAAAAAATTTTTTTAAAAAAGAAACAATAAAAAGTTAATAAGTTTTATTTATATATAATAATAAAATAATAAGCATTTAATTAATAATATTTAATAAATAAAAATTTTTGTATAAGTAAAATATATATAATTTTAACTAAAAAAAATTAAGTTTAGTATATAAAAAATCATAACTTCCAAAAATAAATTAAAACTGAACCTTACTTTTATTATTATTTTTAAACATGTTAATAAATGTTGGATTTGAATCGTTGTTCAAGAGATAAAATGCACTTCAACTTGATTTTATTGTCATTGGATCCAAAGGTCAAATGCAAACTAAACCTTATTAATTATATGATTATTATTGAATATCATGTTTTTTTCACATCAATTTTATTTTTTATTTTTTTATTTTTAATATTAATTATTAGATATTAATTTTAATTTCTAAACTTTAAATTTGAATAGCTTTAAGCAGTTTATTTTCGTCATTAACTATTAGACGCGCACGAAAAGTATCGTTCCCTAAATATTCAGAAAAAAAGAAAAAAAAAAGAAAAAAAAAGAAGGAAATCTTTAAAACGTTCTTGGAATCCATCTTCACCTTCACCTGATATATAAAATCTAGCCCATCCATTCCAATGCAAGACAAATTGCTAAACATCATCCTCAAATCATTCCATTGACATTTTTGGATCTTTTCCATAAAACATCGTTTCTCCTTTTTAAGTAGCTTTGTGTAATCTTGACAATAATCTGATACTCTTTTGCAAGCATTTGCTTCTAATAATCCCAGAATTGACGAACCTTGCTAAAATAAAATCACACATCCTTGACAATTCTACGGACAACGGACAACTTGTATGAGCCATTGAGCCAAAGACAAAAAGATGGCCAGAAAGTCTCATTAGAAAGCATAATACCTACAGGACTGGAAAACTGCACAAGTAACAGACTTCATACCAAAACCTATACCACCTCAAAATCAATTTACACCTTACAAGTTCTCAAGCTAATTAAACATTTGACTGGTACGGAGTGCTGAAACCTCCTAACTTGCTCTTGTGTATGCATTTTGACCTCACACTGGATTTCTGAAGGTATAGCAGAGAAAGGTGATGGTGGAACATCTTTGTTGTGTAAGAGAGAGAGGGAAGAGGGGAGTATAATACATGAAAATTGAGAAAGAGGAAAGAATCGCAGCCAATCGTATTCATTCAAGGGGGGAAATTGATATGGGACTGTATAAGATATGATGCCATCATACAGGGCAGCTGTCTTCAAGAGTCACTCCAACTATCTTCATCACCTTCATCACTTCCAGCAAATGCCTGGCGAATTGCATTTGCTTTCTCCAAGATTGCTGCAACCTTCAAGTTGGTTTTGGGACCCTGAATGCTGGGTCTTGTCACCACAGCAGGCTTCAAGTTGAAGGACTATGGAAATGAAATGCATCAACCAGTTAATTTAACAGATCCAAGTGTAGTTTGTTAAAGTTAAATGGAGTTTAGAATATAAAGAAACGATTCTAACCTTTGTTCGTATTTGTTCCAGCAATGAATCTCTTTCATCTACCTTTGGTGCAATCTGAGACAAAACTCGTTCAGTTGCTTTTCGCAACTGCAGAGAAAAGTGTTGGTTCATAAGTACTAGAGTTCACAAAGCAAAATTGTACAGAAATTGAAAAGCAAAATCACCTACCCTGCTTTTGTCAAGAGCAGCAATTCCATCAATCACTGGATTCTGAAGTCGAGGAATTTTAACAGATGGATTCCCATTTGCCTTTCCAACTTCAGCAGGCTGTGATAGAGAAACTGCATTTGAGGACCGCACTCCTGGAATTGACAAATCATGCTGAGCAAATGCATTTGACGTCTGCACCATTTCTCCCTCTGAAGGTACCAGACCATGCTGAGGTTGCTGCTCTTCTACATTTTTAAGTTGCAGATCCTCCACGAAATACAGAGGCTGCTCTTCCACCGGAGTCTGCATCTCTGTTGGGGAAGGCACAGGCACAGCTGTATAGCTAGGACTATCATGTTCTCCCTCAGAATTTCGTGTGGACTGTTGAAATGCCTCTTTCTCTGAACCAGTACCCAATACAATCTGGTTTTGAGGTTGGGTTGTTTCAGGTGAAGATACAAGATCAATTCTGGAAGTCACAGACATAATGGTAGGCACCGATGGGAATGAGTCATTAGATTGTACCGTATTGCCTTCCATAGCAAATGCACCATATCCAGGCCTTTCATTATACGTGGCAGGTAATGTTAAAAATGGGTTCAATGAATGAGTTCTGTCTAACAGTATACCCCAGTGTTGACTGTTTGTATTGTTAACCACAGTTGGAAAGTTCATTGAGAATGTAGTAGACTGCACCATATTTGCCACTAATTGTTCAGACACGTGGCAAGACTTCTCTTTGTCTACATATACGAGGCTTGATGATGAGCTTCCATGCTGTAGAACCCCTCCTTTCGTTGCTGATGAACCAAATTGAGCTTTCTGCTCAAATGCATATGGTGGTATCACCGGCAATGATCCCTGACCAACCACTTCTCTGTGTGAAGATATGGGATTATGCTGACCCCTCCCCATCCTCCACTGCATTGGAGGAAGAGGGGGCAATGGTGGCATTTCCTCTATACTGACTTGAGTTGCCCCAGGAAGCAGGACAAAGGTAGAAACAACTGGATTAATTGGATCCATCCTATACTCATTACTCTCAAGTTCCTTTGCAGCCAATTGTGGCAAAAGCTCTATTTTTAAAGGTTGAATTGGAGAATCATCTTCACAATGCACAGGGGAAGAATCAAGGTGCCTTTCCTCATCATCCTGAGTTTCCGTCTGTCTGAATGGGAGATATGATGAACTAAAGTTTTCTACTTCTACTTGGATATCACCCATGGTTGGTTCAGTTTGCTGGCCGGCCAACTGCTCTAAAGTAATTCCTGGCTCTGAGACGTTACATGTGGATGATGACATGACGTCTTCAGTGAGATGGCTTTCATGTAAACATCTTAATCCTGACTCTTGATCACTTGGTTCTGAAGATACTGCTGGAGCAGCGTTATGAACGCTCAAACTCTCTTTGCTGGGCTCAGCCACAGAAGAATTAGAAACATCTTCTATACTGCAATGGTTGTAAGAAACCAACAGAGTGGAATCTGACTCTGAAGGACCAACTTTTACTTGATTTATTTCATTTTGCACCACATATTCTATAAGACTTTCTTGAGAAATCACCTCATTATCTGCAATAGCCACTTCCTCTTTAATTCCTTCCTTTTGTGCCTCAGATTCTGTAACATATTCCGGAGAAAGTACCACATTAATTTCTGATCCTTTGTGATGTGAAGCCAGAGTACCAAACATAGATTGTTCCAAAGTAATTAGATTCTTAGATGGGGAACAAATTGGATTTGAAGACTGACAATCAATATTGTTAATATCACCAGAGCCATGAGAAGGAACTGCAGTGGCAGTGGAGACAGCAAAATCCTCAGCTTGAATTGCTTCAATTGTTGTTACAGACGCAAGGTCCGAGCCTTGATCAAGAAGGAAGGCACCTCGTTCCACCACAACAACCTTGGGGGTAAATACCCCTATTTCCTCGGTTTCAGCAGCCTCCAAAACTTCATCGAGATCTGTTTTCTGTTCTGAATATGAAGATCCAGTGTCTATTGAGTAGGTTTTAACTTGTGGGAAATCATGTGGCAATACTTTATGTTCATCAAAGCTATAAGTAGGCAAAGACTCCATCTGGAGATTTGTGTCTTCTGAATAACCTCGAGCTTCTGAAACTGCATTACTGACTTCAGGAGCCAAGTTACCAGGCTTCACAAGAGCCATACCATCAGGCAGCAAATTGATACTTGGGTGCCTTTCTGATTCTGGAAATGTTGAACAAATCAGTTGCTCTTCAGTAGGTGAACCCACTGCCTTGGGTGAACAAATTATTTGGTTGGCCAAAATTTCAGTGCCATTTTCTTCTGCACAGTCTGTTCGAATAACTTCATCCCAGGAGTCATTATTGATTTCCTTTTCAGGAGCAACCTGTGAATTATTTGACAGATGGAGCACAGAATTAGAGGAAGCATTTTTGTTCTGACTGTCCAACTCATCTACTGGATTC